CCCCCCCTCCTGCTTACATGCCATGTAACGAGCTTCTAATAGATACATGTAAACAAAATAACGCCCACGTTGCCTTTATTGACAAAATACATGGGAAATGGAATTCCAGCGTGCTTTTGTTAGCTTCAATCCCCAGTTCTGGCGAAAAGGTAACGCGCAGCACCCCCCCCCCCCCCCCGGAGAACTTCTCAGCCTGCCTCGCCCCCCCCCCCCCCCCCCCCCCCCCTTCCCCGCGGGAAAATGGAAAGTCTACGCCGCTGACTGAAAGTATAGTAATTTTGTACTATGAAACCTTGCCGTGAAATGGACATATAGGGAGTATTCACTGGAAGCTATTGGCGACGTGCGCGACCAAAAGCGTCGCTGTTTTCGGCCTTCCATGATCAGTCAAACTCACTGTGACGTCTTTAGTAGGATGCGTTCTGCTGCCATCGACGGAAATAATAGTAAAGTCAGACTCTCAACTTTGAAGGTGTTGATTCAGACACATGATGACCGGGCTTCCACCGAACGTTTTTACGCACCATCGAACTTGTCGCACGCTGCTAATAATCTCGGTCGGCACGTCGGTGATAGGAACCGTGAGAGGGCGCCACCGAAGCACCTCGTCGCCAATAGCTGTGTGCGCGACTGCTGTGCGCGTGTTGATATTGGGGAGGAGGACAGACCGTGACGCCCCAAGCGGTTAACTTAACAACTACACGGATGGGGACAACAAATACAATGACGCAGCGCTCGGCCGACATAACCGAACGCGGCGTCAGCGTTCGGCTGGAGTTCGTGTTCTCCGGCGAGGGGGAGGAGGGGCTCCTTTGTTTCCACTACGGCCTGCATGAACAATGCAGCATGCACAATCCCAGCTCAGCACAAAAGCCGAAGTGGGTCAAGCTCGCATTCTCTGGGGATAGATCCGGCACTTAACGTCGCTTCGTCGATTGTTAGTATTTTTTACATTAAACTCTGCCCCGCGCTCCATTGTAGAAGATGACATGGTCATGCCCCTAAGGCCTGTCGGCATGTGCACAGGCCTTGTGTTGAGTAAACACCGAGCGTGGGGAAAACAAACGGGTCAGAGCGCCCCCTATAGTTCGATCTCCTGCCCAGTAGTACAGGGGTGGCAAAGCTGCAGCTCGCGAGCCGCATGCGGCTCTTCGCGTGTTTTAAGTGCGGCTCGCGGCTCCCTCCCCTAACTACCCCCCCCCCCCACACACAAACACACACAAACACACACACACACTACCCCGCCTCCCTCCTTGTCTCACGAGCACTTCCCCCAAAAGAGAAATGGAACGCGTTTTAAATCGAAAGGCAGGTTGCGGTTTGGTTCGTATATATGAAAAGTAGTTTGAGTTTCGTTTTTTGTTACAAAAAAAGTTTGCCCCCCCCCCCCCCCCCCCCCCCCCCCCCCGTCGCGGCTCTTAGAAGTTTCGTACGGCTCTTAGGCCGGGTCTGCCTGGCTACCCCTGCGTTTACAGGTTAAGAAGGTAGCGGCAAATGCCCCTCAAAGGGAATCATATATCCGCCCGCCACCTCCGCATCCCACAGCGTCCCACCGTTTCCGTGACGTCGCGGCCAACGCGCGAGAAGGGTCTTGCCGTTCTGTACATATTTGCTTTATCTTTAGACTTTGACTTGGCATTGTGGAAGCCACGAGAGGGAGATTAGAGTTT